TTTTTTTTTTTATTTTGGGCCAGTAGCAGCTCTGAGGCCTCACTGCTGAAAACATCGATACAATGTTGCGGTCCGAGCCCGGCTGAATGGAAGCCGGTTTCTGGGGTGTTTAGCTTCGCCCTTTTCTGGGGTTTTGTTTAGCTTCTTATTTGCAACATAGTATATAGTTGCTTAGAGTTGCAACTGAGAGGCTGGCAAGTGAGGCGGGGAACGTTGGAGTCCTCAGCAAGCAAGCCTCCCTGCTCGCTTCAGTGCCTGGCTGCCGGCCGCCATCTTGGCTGACAGTTAATTTGCATATACTCACTGATTAGCCAATGAAAAGGGTAGCGGTCGTACGCTAATTACCATGTTTCTCTTTTATTAGTGTAGATATCTCCACCTCTACTCCTTCCCAACTTTCTTCTTCATGAATTCTGCATCCATGTGGACAATTAATCCAAAACCTAGGCTATCAGTTCCTGACCTCTATGCTGCCAAGGCCATCTGCTACCCTTGTCATACCCTGGACCTTATCATAGCAAGAGCAGTACCACTTCCAGAATTTCCATGTCCAACATCCCAGTCTTCAACCTCTACCTCCCACTGTATTTCTGGCTCCTTCCTTTATTCTGATATGACAATTCTTCCTCACATTTGGGATCCCTAAGCCACTGGCCCTCCACCTTTTAACTGGTTATCACCTCCTTTCCAATCATCACATCCCTTCTTACTCATAGTTTTATGTGTTTTTATTGATTTGAGAGACAGGGAGAGAGAAACATGGATATGAGAAACATTAGTTGGTTGTCTCCCATACATGCCCCGACCAGAGACTAAAACCTCAATCTAGGCATGTGTCCTGACCAGGAATTGCACCTGCAACCCTTTGGTGTACAGGATGATGCTCCAATTAACTGAGCCTCCTGGCCAGGGCCATCGTTTTGATCTGTTCCTTGCTGGACAGCAGAATGCGGCTGGGAGAAAACACTCAGTCGTGCTGAAGGTTCACACTTCGACTTTATCACACAAAACTCAAGTGGGGCCTCAGGGCTGCTCAGCAACCCAACCCTCTCCCCAAACGCAGGTCCATTTCTCCTCCCACCTCTCTTTGGGGGGCGTGCAGGAGGCAGCCAATCAATGATTCTCTCTCATCATTGATGTTTCTATCTCTCCCTCTTCCTTCCTTTCTGAAATTAATAAAAATATATTTTAAAAATAAAAGGTATATGAAATTTTTATTTATTAATTATTATTATTTCCAGCAGGCTTAATTCACTTTATTTTTCTTGTATAAAAATTATGTGGTGGCCACAGCTGGAGCCTGGGCCCTCTGCACAGAAGCTCTGGTGTGGGTCTTTACAAGCGGGTCAGTGAATTTCTGGTAGGGAGACTTGGTGAACACGGTCTCTGTCCAGAGATCTGGGGTGAGATAGCTGTAGGTCTTAGAGATGGCATCAAAGGTGGCCCTGGCGAAGTTGCCCAGGGTGGCAGTGCAGCCCCTGGCCGAGGTATAGCAGAGGTCAATACTGGCCATCATCGGCAACTTCTTAGGCACGGGGGCCGAGACAATGCCAGTGCCCCCGGGGGCAGGGATGAGGCGCACCAGAACAGAGCCACAGCGGCCTGTCACCTTGCAAGGAACGTTGACCCGATAGCAGTTCACAGATTCTGAGAGTCCTCCAACTTTTTAAATGCTCTTGTTCTCCTTCTTTGCTTGGGCAATTTATACATATCTTTTCAGGCTCTGCCCTGATGTCACCTCCTTCGAGGAGCCCTCCCTGACCCTCCCCAGGCTGGATGACACGTCTCTCCCATGAGCTCCCACAGACCATCTCTATCGCATCACCTGCCACTTGGCAGGTCTACGGGGTGTTAGATGCTGTGGAGAAGCCAAACAAGTTAATGACTTGGTTAGATTGGGCAACAAGGAGGTTGGTGGTGGTCTGCAAGGAATGTTTCAGTGGAGTTGGGGGCAGAAGCCAGGTTGCTTTGGGGAGCAAGTGATGTATGTGGCACTGAGGCAGCCAGTGTGGACAACTCTTTCAAACCTTCTTTGGTTTAGAAGGGGAAGAGGCTGGTTGCTAGCGAAGGTCAGAGGTTGGAGGTCCGGAGGTAGACAGACATATGAGGATTCTTGTTTGCTCTTGGCCAGGAATCGGTGGAGAGGTCACAGAAGCCTGGGAGAGCTTCTAGGAGCAAAAAGTGGAATTGGGGGCATGGGACCTAGCACAGAGGAGGACTGGCCTTAGATGATGTCCAGCTGCTGGAACCAAGTACCATAGACTGGGGGCTTATAAACAGCCGGGTTATTTCTCACAGTTCTGGAGGCTGGACATCCAAGGGCAGATTCGGTGTCTGGCGAAGGCCTGATCAGGTTGCAGACTGCCCCAGATGGCAGAGGGGCAGGGGGTCCTCCAGGGCCTCTTTTATGAGGGCACTAACCCCATCCATGCCCTAATCACCTCCCAAAGACCCGCCTCCTGATACCCTCACACTGGGCATTAGGATTTAACCTGTGAATTTGTTAATATCTGTATTGTAAATACAAGTATTCAGACCCTAGCAAATAGCAAAAGGACATGTCTTCCCCTCGGGAGGTGAAGGACAAGCGGGTGCAATCAGTCAGGTGGGCATCTTGATGGCAGGCTGATGGGAGCGTTCCTGTCGGAAAACTTCGGTTTCTGTGTAACAGAGGGTGAAGTCAGAGGTTTGGGGGCAGTGGAGAGCGTTAGAAGTAGCCACTGTGAGGGATGAGAGGGGCAGCCCCTGGCCGAGGTATAGCAGAGGTCAATACTGGCCATCATCGGCAACTTCTTAGGCATGGGGGCCGAGACAATGCCAGTGCCCCTGGGGGCAGGGATGAGGCGCACCAGTGCAGAGCCACAGCGGCCAGCGAAGACAGGAGGAGGGGAATCAAAGACCAGCTGGAGGTCCAAGAACAGGAAGTGCGAGCCATGAACAAACAGATGGAAAGGCCTCAGAGGGCACGGTGAGAGAAGTAACTTGGGCCAGTGGCAGCTGAGATGGAGGGAAGGTGAAAGAACTCGGGGAAGGCAAGGAGCTGAGCAGACGGGTTGTCTGTGGCGTGGGCCACAGACACGGGCAGTGGAACAAAGGAGGGCCCGGGGAGGAGAGGAAAGTAGTAAGTTTGGGTCTGTCGTTGCCCGGGAATGTTCTTGCAGCTGAGGGGCAAGGACTTCAGAGGAGACAGGGTCTTTGACAGCCAGCCAAGGATAAAGGTCCGGAAGAGGCCTTGGGGCGGTTGCAAGAGGGAAAAGGAAGGGGAAGAAAGAAAGAGCCGACAGGAGGGAGGGGGGCTGAGAAGGGATGACTTCAGAGAAAAGCATGATTTATGGTGAAAGCTTCGGAGCTGGTGGCCCGCAGGCCAAACCCTAGTTTGCTTTGCTTGGTCAAAAAAGAAGTCGATACGAAAAACATCCCACGGTCCTCACAAAGACCCAGATTGCCGGGCTCTTTCTCCTTGATTGTTTGCTTGTTTCTGAGATAGAGTTCCCCTACCATAAAAGTCATCATTTTTACCTGTACAGTTCAGTGGCTTTTAGTATATTTACAAAGTTGTACAACCATCATCATTATCTAATTCTAGAACATGTTCTTCATCTCAAAGCGAAAGCCTGTACCTGTCAGCAATCACTTCCCACCCTCCCTCTCCCCCAGCCCCCAACAGCATTTATTTCCTGTCTCTATGGATTGGCTATTCCAGACCTTTCACCTGAAGGAATCATACAGTAGATGGCCTTCTGTTCCTGGCTTCTTTCACTTAGCGCAATGTTCCTAAGGTTCGTCCCCGTTGCAGCATGAATCAGTATCTCGTTCCTTTTTCTGGCTGAATAATATTCCATCGCCTGGCTACACCTCTTGTGCAGACATTCAGCCACTGATGGACTTCCAGGTCGTTTCCACTTTGGGGACGTCGTGAACACTGCTACTATGCACATTCTTGTACAAGTTTTCGTGTGAGTTTTTTTCAGTTCTCCCAGGTAAATACCTAAGAATGGAATCGCTGGGTCATATGCTAACTCTGTGTTTAACCTTCAGAGGCACTGCCAAGCTGTTTCCAAGGCGCTATACCATTTTGCATTCCCCCCCAGCAGTGTGCGAGGGATTCTAGCCTCTCCTGAAACTTCTGAAGACCTGGCCGTGTTCCGTCCACATTCCCCCATGGAGCTGGGTCAGGGCTCTCCGACTGCAACTTCTCACCACGCACCGTGTGGGCACAGGTAGTGACCCCTTGCACTAGTGCCAGAAGCCGGTCCATCCTTGCTGCTTGACACAGTCGCTGCAGGGAAGAAACATCTGCACATGTTTCAAGGGACCTGGCCTATATGGCATACTGTTCTTAATATGTTTGCTCCCCTTCTTGGCGCTATGTGTTTTAACCAAGGTCACCTCTACAAGAAAGGTTGTTTCCCCAGGTAGGGATTTTTCCCTGAAGTTAGGGAGGGAATAAAACCCCTTAACTAAATGCCAGGCGGGTAGTTAATCACTTTAACTACGAACAATCACCCTTAAGCTACATAATCTTTACTCCCTGAAATGGAGATAAGAAACGCCCTAACCTTTGGAATAGAAATTGACAGGATTAAAATCAACTGGTATGAATACAGATGTAACAAGACAATGAAACACAGAACCTGGCTGGAGATCCTGGCTAGAGAACCTGGCTTTGGAAAGGTGGGAAGCAGGGGCTTGTTAAGACAAGAGGAATTACAGAGCAGTGGGGAGAAAAGAGATGGCCAAGGAGGCTGGTATTGGGGCCAGTGAAGGAGGATTACAGGTATGGCAGAGTGAGCATCCTTGCCTGGGCCTCAGAGGGCTGAGGCCAGGTGTCTCCCACAGCGGTCCTGGTGGATATGAAGGACCAGGCCTCCGGGCCTGTAGTTCAGTGATTTAGCAGCTCAAGGGAAATTTGTGTCAATCTAGCTCAGAACTGTCTAATAAAAATAGATCATGAGCCATACATGTCATGAACAATACTAGTTTTATCTTTGCCAATCATTGAGTCTACGTAGTATCTCATTGTGATTTTAACTTAAACGAGGTTGATCATTTATACAAGTTGTTTTTATGCTACATAACTTGAGTTGCATATATTATTGTTCGGTCATCTTTTGATTTTATTTTTTTCCATGGAAAATTTATAAATGTTTATTGTGGTCAGAGTTGATGACTTCTTAATTATGAGTCATACTTAAGTAAACCCATCCCAAGAATATAAAAAAATTTTCTTAATCTAGTACTTTAATGCTTTCATATTTTAGATTTATATCTTTGAGCTGTTTGAAGCTTATTTTAGGGTAAGTAATGCAGGAAAGATACAAATGGGTTTCCAAATATCCCCCCAAACAATTTATTGCATAATCTATTATTTCCTGTGTGTGTTTGGGTCTGTTTCTGGGAATTCTATTCTATTCTATTGATCTGTCCACTCATGTTCCCAAACAAAAAGTATTTTCAAATTGTAAACCATAGTTGTTGTTTTTTAATATTTTTAAAAATATTTTTTTTATTGATTTCAGAAAGGAAGGGAGAGGGAGATAGAAGCATCAATGATGAAAGAGAATCACTGATCGGCTGCTTCCTGAACACCCCTACTGGGGATTGAGCCCGCAACCCAGACATATGCCCTTGGCCGGAATCAAACCTGGGACCCTTCAGTCTGCAGGGCAACTCTCTATCCACTGAGTCAAACCGGCCAGGGCTAAACCATAGTTTTACAATGTTTTAATGTCTGGTTGGACTAGCCCCCCTCCTTATTCTTCTTTTTAAGAATTTTCTGCCCAGCTAGCACGGCTCAATGGTTGAGTGTTAATCTATGAACCAGGAGGTCATGGGTTCGATTCCCGTTCAGGACACATGCCTGGGTTGTAGACTCCTTCCAGTGTGGGGAGTGCAGAAGGCAGCTGGTTAATGATTCTCTCTCATCATTGATGTTGTATCTCTCACTCCCTCTCCCTTCCTCTCTGAAATCAATAAAAATATATTCTTTAAAAAAAAAATTTTTCTTAGCTCTTAAAAAGTAGCTTTTCTGCCCAGCCGGTATGGCTGAGTGGTTGAGTGTCCATCTATGGACCAGGAGATCACGGTTTGATTCCCTGTTGGGCACGTGCCCGAGTTTCCAGCTTGATCCCCGGTAGAAGGGGTGTGCAGGGGGCAGCCTATCAATGTTTCTTTCTCATCAGTGTTTCTGTCTCTCTAGCCCTCTCTTCCTCTCTGTCTAAAATCAATAAAATAAAATAAAATATTTTTTAAAAAGTAGCTTTTCTGCCCTGACTGGTTTGGCTCAGTGGATAGAGCGTCGGCCTGCGGACTGAAGGGTCCCAGGTTCGATTCCGGTCAAGGGCATGTGCCTTGGTTGCAGGAACGCGGGCACATCCCCAGTAGGAGGTGTGCAGGAGGCAGCTGATCGATGTTTCTCTCTCATCGATGTTTCTAACTATCTCTCTCCTTTCCTCTCTGTAAAAAATCAATAAAATACATTTTTTTAAAAAGTAGCTTTTCTGTTTCTTCTGGGGAACCCATATTAAATTTATAAGTTAATTGAGAAAGAATTGGCATCTTTCTAATATTGATTTCCCCCTTTTCTTATACAAAGCCAACATACTATAGGAATTATTTCACCCATTTCTTTATAACCTATATCATCCCATGC